CATCACTGAAGCAATGAACATGAAACTGAGCAAACTCAGGGAGGCAGTGAAGGACAGGAAGGCCTGGCACAATATGGTTCATGGGTCATGAAGAGTCGGACACGACTTAACGACTGAACAACAACAACCACTGAACCATAGTGTTAAAAACTTTCTCTCATTTTGTTATTCAGTTCTGATGGGATTCCCAAATTGTGGCAACCTGTTTGTACAGATGGGACTTACTGAAGATTCACAGGCTAATGATTCTTGATAGCAACTTTCATGTTATGGCAACTTTACCCAGAATTCCACTCAGGAATTCATGGTTGCCATGAAAACAAACATGACATTAAACCAAGATATACTTTGTGCCACACTCTTGTACTGGTATTGACTGAGCGGAAATGTTATAGTGAGGTAATGGGAAGTTGCTTTTGACTCCACAGTCACAGTCAGACCATTTCTTTATCTCATTTAGATTAACAGTTTTTTTCCTAGCCCAACAATGAGTAGAAATCTACTAAAATGATTTATCACTAGACACTGAAATAATCTGATGGGCCCCCAAGGGCTTTAAGGAAGCGTTTAGCTGACATGTTTGTTACACATGACAAAGCTCAATCTGTATCATGTGGACTCTATTAATCTGTATCATACGGAAATGACTTGGGAGTAGGCATAGTTAGCTTGTAGCCATATATTCTTCTGCTGAGCAGAATGCTTGATATACAGCGGGTGGAATAATGAACTAGGTAGTGGGTGGTGTAAACTGAGATACAAAACTTGATGGAAATAATATCTAAAGCAGATAAGATTATTTTTTCTCATTGTTCAGAACTTTTCTGTGTAGCCCTGTAATATCTAATTTTGGTCTGCTCTATTAATAGTAGCTCTGTAGACAACTGCAGAAATGAAGCATGAAAGCTTTCTTAGTATGGGAATGTCAACTCAAGTATTGGGATCACCTTTTCAAACTCCTGATTACCCTTAAATTTTGAACTAGTTTAGGCTTTATGTAAAAGTATACTATAAGTTAGGGAGATGAGAGAAAATGTTATTTCGTCTCATTTCCTTTCCCATGTCACCTTAAGTATTGCCCCACACAAAAGAATAGGAGGCCATTAGCTTTACTTGCTGGACTTGCCAAGAGAGTGCTGTAGGAGTGGGGCTGTATTTCAGAGTTGGGAGGGAGGGAAAGATGCAGTGGGAGAGAGATGGGTGGCCATATAAATTTGATTAATAAACCAAGAAACAAACAAGCTATGCTTCGAAGGCATTGCATTATTACCTCACAAACCTTAGAACTACAGGGATGGAAGAAAACATAGGCCTTGGTACTAGCCATGATAACTGCCAAGGCTATCAGACCCAGAGTAATTAAGGCAATCTCCTTTAAGCCTGTGCCTAATGAATTTAATCTAGACAGCAGATATTTTAGAAAACACAGGAAACCTATATACAATTACTAATTTGGCTGAGCTCTATACCTGTCATTCAACAGGTGATCTGTAAGTAATTCAAAAGAGAAGTACGCAGGACACTCATTATAGATTTTTCAGTCATGGAAGAAAGTAAGTGTAAAGTCTCTTTATAATTATCACCAAGGGTTTTTTTAGAGGGAAAGGACAGAAATATCTCTTTTTTTCACTCACTCACACACTACCACTTCTGTACAGCTTAAAGATCACAAGACAAGATGCAAGATTTCAACAAAGCAATTGTCACTTCAACAAAGCAATTATTATTTTTTATATGTCTTGACATGGACAGGTTCAATTCATCTACTTCATCCATCCTTCTTAGCTTCCTTAATAAGTTAAATATGTCACAATCAGCAATACTTTCTCCATCTTCCCAAAATGCAGTTTGTAATGATGTGTTCATATCAGGAAAAAGAACAGAAAAACGGAATTTTCAGAAAACCTAACAAATAATGAACTCACATGGAGCACAACATATCAGAGACTGTTTAGGCTATGCTATTCAAATCTTGATTCTACAGTCTGCAACTGGGACTCACATGCTTCCTTTCCTTCTACCATATGCTGTGATGTAACTGTTAAAGAGGTGGGTGACTTTGAGCTAAGCTTGTTATTAACTCTTAGCTGAACCTATTCCACAATATTGTTGTGGAAAAATTGGTGGAGTGCTATGCACTCCATCTTGCATTCCTAGAGGAAAGGTGGAATATATATCTAAGAAATTTAATCTTAATCTTACAGAAAACTAAATCAGCACATTCAATCTGTATTTAACCATAATAAAACTCTAGATATCTGTGTAACTTTAGAAACATATGACCCCAAGATACACTTGGAATCTCATCATATATAGTGATGTTGGGTTATGCACTGACCCCAACTCCAAGCAGAAGCAGCGAATTGGAGTAGGAGTGTACTCTTGCATGCTCCAAATCATTCTTTCAGATTGCTGCACAACTCTAGTAGAAGTCCAGAAAAGTTAATAAAAACACCACCCTAAATGTTGTCATTTTAAGAACATGAAATGCATTACAACTTGCAGCCCAGCCATTTTATTTATGAGGAAAAATGAAGAAAAATTATGTACAAGTTCCCTCTTAATTAAAAATTAATTACAACAGCACCCAGTTGCAGGATGCAGCACCAAACTGAATCAAAACATTATCCTTTTTACTTAGTGGCAACTAGGAAAAAAATGAGCAAACTGATCTATAAATAACAAACAGAAATCAAGAAACCAAGGACAAAATATTGAGACATGGTAAATAGGACAGAGGCTATAACAATTATAATTCACAAAACAGAAGAACTATATTTCTAAAGAAAAAGCCCAGAAATCAACATCCTATAATTATTTTATTTAGATGATAAATAATCTAAAATTATGATTATTTTAATTCATCATTTTAAAAACAATTATTTGCAGGAGTTTCCTCCTTTTTCCCCCACACTGGTTTTCTGTGGCAAGCTGGGAAAAACAGAATAGATTTTCCTCCCCCCCCCCTTTCCTATGCTGCTTCTCTGGTCATCCACTTCTAGAACAAATTGATAAATTATCCAGATTCTCTTCAGACTGACCCATACCACTTCTGAACTTTCAAGAAAATAAACCTTAAAAAAAAAAACCAGGGATGGGGGAGTTACACAGGTGACTTTCTGTCCCTGTATTGCAAATCCTCAAAACCTCCTAGAAATATCATGCACTACTCCTTTCCATTGCTGTAGCAGGGGTATGGATAAATACTGCCAAGGCAGAAAAGATAAATACTATAGGATACATTCCCCTTTCTCATCTCAGTGTGTCTCCTCATCACAAAGCATAAAATAAATGCCCATTAAGGTCATTCTGGGATTCAACCTTTGCCTACCTTTTTCTTTCCCTGAATTCTTTTATTAGTATTATTTAGCCAATTACATTGTGATGTCATGCACCTTAAGGATTCCTACCGGTGCAGAAAACTGTCCTCTCCTTTTAAGCTTTGCTGAATCCCCCAGTAAAGCTTATTACTTATTTATTTCTGATGGCAACGTTTATGATATGATCCCAGTATTCATTGAAAGGGCATGAGGTATGGAAATATGATTGATCTTGAAGATTATAATTCTGGCCTGTTTCCATTATAGATAACAGGAATGATTGGAAGAGTGTGTGTGTGTGTGTGGGGGGGGATATGTAAGGAAGGAGTATACCTTACTACATGTCACACATGAGAGGAGAGGAGAGGATGGGAGAGGATGCTAGTGGCCAATGTGACACAGTGGTTCAGATGTTGGACTGCAACCAGGGAGAGCCAGGTTCAAGTGCCCACTCAACCATGAAACTCACAAGTGACTCTAGGATACTCCCTATCTCTTAGCCCAACCTACAAGATTGCTGTGAGGATAAAATGTACCACTCCACACTTTATATCCTATATCCTATATCTCTATCTATATCCTATATAAATTAAATAATCATACAGCTGTAACAGCTGTCAAGATGTAACTATGAACAGATAGGGTCCTGAGAGAATACAATGTAAAACAGAAAATGTTGCTCATTCATTTTGCTGTTATTACTTTTTTAAAGCAATACTACAGCTGCCAGGTTCATGTTATATTGGAAGGCTTTTCATAACATACAG